AAAAAAATGTACGGATTGTACGGATTTTTTAAAAAAAAATTGTACGGATTGTACGGATTGTTTTTCGAAAATTGTACGGATTGTACGGATTTCTTCTGAAAATGTACGGTTTTTTGTACGGATGGGTTCAAAAAAGTTTTGGCCACCCTGAATACATTAAAATCCATTATTTCAAAATGTTACGACTAGATAAAAGGATTTGAAGAGTTATATGAGAACTATATAAAAGCTAAAGACATATGTTCCAAAAAGCACATGAGAATATTTTACGCAATTCAATGGTGTCCCAAGATTTCTAATAAAATTCTTACATTTTATGGCAGTTTTGGTTTTCTCGCACGCCCTGGTAAAGATATCTCGTATCAAATATCTTCTTGAAATAAATAATTTCAATAAGTTCTGTTGTATTGACCTGCTTGTGTTTGTGAGACAACCCAAGCCTCTTTTGGAGCCTCAAGAACTCCGGGTTATACTGATTACTCTTGATGATCAACTGTATCAAACATCCGCAACACAATTAATAAATCTAATGTTTTATATGATCTCCGAACAAAGTTTTGATAACTATTTTGGACCTTGAATGTTATTTGAACAACGAATCACTTCTTGAGATAGGATTAATGATCTTGATCTCCCATGATCATCTGCAACACGACGATCTTTATATTTTGAATGAAAGCTTGGGATTGAAGCTTGATAAATTCTGGTTTACATGACTTCTCAATTTTTAAATTACATATTTAAAAATTGCATTTTTGTTTAATTTTAACTCGTAGATTTGACAGGATAAAGAGGATATTCTGGGGTATTTAATAATCCTGCATTCAGCCTTCTTCTTTCAGGCTGTTGTTTGTCCTAAAATAATAGTGTAGTTTTTACAACTTTCCCCACAATATTAATACTTGAATATGGATTCATATTGATAACCATCTGCTGAACTAGACATACAGTTAAATTAGTATATAAATGTAGTAATACTTGAAATATACAAAAAACCCGATATTTCGTCTCGAATGTCGTCTTCTTAATTTAAAAAAACATGTATAAATTATCTTCTATCCCTTGCAAATACAAAAATTTTGTGAAGAATAGTCGTTTAAAAATCAATGTTAACAGATGCATGTTGAGTTAAATTTTTATGAAAAAAATAGCTGCTTGTATAGCAACAGTAAGGCGCGAAAAATTTGTTATGAGAAGAGGGGTGCGAAGTATATAAATAAATAAAATTCTATTTATCACACAACCTCCGAAAAATATATATATTTTGTAAATTTGCGGTTTACCTTCATAGAGAAACCACAATCTAAAACAATCAATTTTCAGCTAGAAAATGAGGATGTCTCCTTCAGACAAAAGTTTTAAGGTTACTGTTCCGAATCGGACTAACTAATCTTTAAATTGAGGGTTTACTTGAAATTATGTGTGTAATACAATTTGATTTGTCTATCTTTTTAGAATGCACGTTTCAAACGGATCACTGGGGTAGTGTGGAGTGGGCCCATGATATAGGTAAAATATCCTGAGGACGAAATTTAAGAATTTAAACCACGTCGGTGAACCAACAAAAACCGGTTTCGATTGAGCGCCGGCTCAAATCTCGAAACTCTAAAAACAACTACAAGTGGAGTGTTTGAGCCGCGGTTAAAATTCTTTAAATTCGGCCTCTGAGGACTAAACTTTTCCTTCAAATACTTAACTCTAAATCAATTTCTCAGTGCTCAAACTTTTGAATTAAGATGTAACTCCTGTAAGAGCGGGGAAAGTTGCCCATTCCTGGCAAATAATTAGGCCAAGGGGGAAAATTAATTAGCGCTAAAGTCACTGGTTTAATAAAAAGAAGGCTTGCCCTTGTTTATTTTTTGTCCGTATTCTCTTCATTCCGAGTCCATAGCAATGTCTTGAGATTACCTTTAGCCTGTTTTCTTGTCCATAATTTATCAAAAATTACATTTTTATTCTATTGATTTTAAAAAATTTTAATTTTAATTTAATTTTAATTTTTTGCCTGTTTTTACCTTTTTTCTCTAATTCTGTATTTCTTTAATCATTTCCCCATTTTTTATAGCTTTTCCCCATAATCTTTTCATTCCCATAATTTCATTAACTTTTTTCTGTTTTGTTCTTTATCCCTCACTTACTTTACGAAAGTTTAGAAAAATCAAGAGTTATCATTTTGTAATTTTTTTTTAGAAATGCACGACACAACAGCAAGACTAGCCGCAGCGAATATGTTTGTTTATTTCAACTCTATTTCCTCCACAGTACGAGAGAAGAACATCCAGGGATAATGACGGACAGACACTTTAGTTCTACGGTCACAAACATGCAGAGGAAACATTATTCACCGGAGTTCATTAAAGGAATGAATAAAATAATTAATATAACTTTAATTCACCAAACAAATTAGAAATTGTGTGGAACATATATAATAAATTATTCAGGGGTTGATGATTCAAACTTACTCCTGACTTTGTTGTGTGTGAGAAAGAAACGGTTTGATAAATCATTCCCTTCCCCCCTCTTTTAAAAATATTTTGAATCTTAAAAATATACATCGCGGAACTTTGATTTGATCTGTTCCACAATATATGTGCGGTACTTGAGATTCAATTTTCATATCATTATCCTGTCACCTTCTTAGAGCAACCCTGAATTTGTTTTAATTCCACTTCAAGATATCTTTTTTATTATAATGAACCGTTTAAACATATTTTATTCCTCCTTCACAGATGGTGTTGAAGTAGTATCTGGCAACTTCTCTTTCTTTGGGACGATTATTGATTTGATCCCAGTGGATTCGTCGGTTAACTCCATTCGTCCACTTTCCTTACGTCTGGACGATGGTACTGGGACGATAAGTTGTGTCTATTTTCGGCCGGATAAACTTGATCTACAGGATTATATGAAAATCGGTGACGATTTACTCGCCTACGGGACGATTCAAGAGTATCGGGACTCGTCCCAGCTGCGTTGTGACAAATTGAAGTTTGTCTCGGACCCAAACTTTCAAGCTCTGTGGATCAACCAAGTTATTTATTACAAAAAGATGAAGCAAAAACAATTTTAGTTTTTTATGTGAAATATCTAAATCAACTGCAAAGTGTACAGTGTACAGTTTTCAAATATTTCCTCAATGAAAGGAATACTGCCTTCATAGATTATGATCGCCCATTGAACTGATAATAAACTTTTTTTTTTTTTCAGAAAAAAAATCTGATTAAAAATGAAGTTGGTCCGATTCCTCATGAAGCTCAGTCACGAGACAGTCACAATTGAACTCAAGAACGGGACACAGGCACGTTATAATGGGGTTGTAGGACGTTTTTTTACGTTTCATAGTTTCATACTTTAATATGACTGAGGTGTTAGTTAAAGAAAACATGTCAAATTAAACAAATATATTTTGCTAATTTCTAGATTACTAGGGTAAACAATACAATACATACCTAAAAACAAAACCTTGTTCCTAAAAATTTCAACACCCCCAGAAATATCTAAGACGTGTGTTTTAATTTCGATATATTGATTCCAACTAAAACGATTTTAAGATTTAAGATTCCATTATTTGTAAAACTTCATTTTTGAAAAAAAAACTTTTTCTATATTTTAATATTTTATTTTATTGTAGGTTCATGGTTCTATAACTGGTGTAGATATTGCCATGAACACTCATCTCAAGAGCGTTAAGATGACAATCAAAAACCGGGATCCAGTCTCTATAGACTCATTAACCGTCCGGGGAAATAATATCAGGTAACAGTCCCGATCGCTAACAAATATTACCGACGGTAAATTCTCCATAGTTCTCTAATTTACCACTAGGGCTGCGTGTTATGTCACTTCAGTCTCGAGATAAAATAAAATAAATTATCATCCCGCTCTGCGAATTTTTAGAAAAATAAGAACCAAAGTGAAAACTTTTATTAACTTCCTTGCAAATATTTTTTAGTAGTAAATACTCGATAGTTTTTATTTCAGATCACTAACATGAAAATTCTCTTAATAGCGAAATTAAATTGTAAATGTTATTTTTAGATATTTTATCCTGCCTGACACCCTGCCCCTGGAAAACCTGCTGATTGACGACGGACCCCGGAAGCGTAAGGAACTCGGACGAGGCGGACGAGGTGGTCGAGGTGGATCCAGAGGAAACCCAAGATCTGGCGGAGCCCGCGGTGGACGTGGACGTGGTCGAGGCGGACCCCGGAGTGGAGGAGCTCCCCGCGGTGGACCAAGGAGGATGTAGAGAACTCCTCTCCGGCAAATCCATGCAATCTTTGCATGGCAAATCCATGCAATCTTTGAATCTTTGCATTTCGTTTATTTTGTAAACTTGTACCTTAACGTTTGTGTTGTCACCATTTTTTCAACTCTAAAAATGTTTCAGATGATCGCCTGAAAAGATTGTTGAATCCTCTGAAAACAGAGAATTAATAAAAATATAAAATGTCGAGTGGAAAGAAGTTCCGCCGTCCGCCGCCTCTTCCTCTGACTCTACCGCCAAATGAGGAGGAATGGCGGAATAATCCTGTTCCCCTTCAGCCTGGAGACCTGATGGGTCCTCCTCAGATACCTCCGCTCTCCCAGCACAGTAAGTTTAGCCTTCCGCCGTAGAAAATCAACACTGGCTCATCAAAAGCATTTTAAATATAATTGTGGATATCTTAATCAACTTTTACTTAAGAGTGTTGGCCCAGGGGAGGAAGGCAAGCCACAACAATTTCTCGTCCGAGCCACATTCTTCCCATTTTCTCGTCCGAGCCACCTCGGAATCTTCGTCTTTCGATTATTGTGTTTCCAATTCTCGAACATGAAACTATTTTTTAAAAATCTGGCCACTTCAGGACATGCAATATGGGTGGACTTAAGTATTGCAATGATTACATCCATGCTGGAATCTTCAAACCCATCAGAATTATTTCAAACTTTATTTAGGTAAAACTTAAATCTCTTCTCAATATAAAATAAATAGCAAAATATCCGGCATACCTCTGCCTATCATTTTCCCCATGGAATCACCCGGAAAAAATTCTATGGTTTTCACTATATAGTTAACAAAAAAGATTTAAGTTCTATAAACTCGGAGTTATTTGCGGCATGCTACACCAGGAATATCTGAAAACCTTAATTCAATTAAAACTTTTAATTTCGATTTACAAAAATTTGATATTTCATTTATGCCATAACATGGCCCGATTCTTTGAAAATAGATTTATCAGTGAGGATTAGACACTTAAAAATAAAAATATTGAAAGGACGAGGATTTCGAGGTGGCTCGGACGAGAAAATGAGGAGAATGTGCATCGGACTAGAAATTGTTGTGGTTGGCCTCCCTCCTCTCTTTGGCCTCACCTGCGCTTATTTTTATATTATCACCTTTAAACTTCTTACTTACTTGTATACTTGTGTGGTGGTTTGCAGGAGTCCATGGTGCAAACGTCTGCAACATATAGTTTCCAAGTCTAAAAAACTGTAACAAATAGAATCCAAGTCTAAAAAGTCTGTAACAAATAGTATTCAAGTCTATAAAATCAGTATCCGAGCCTATGAAATATGAAACAAATTGTTTTCTAGTCCATAAAATATGCCACAAATAGTATTTAAGTCAATAATATCTGCCACAAATAGTATTTAAGTCAATAATATCTGCCACAAATAGTATCCAAGTCCATAAAATCTGCCACAAATAGTTTTCAAGTCCAGAAGATATTATACAATACTTATAGTATACAGATCCATAAAATCTGCCACAAATACAGTGAACAGTGTACAATGTACTCAGGGGCGTATTCAGGAAGTTGTCCAGGGGGGGCTTATATTTTTTTCTTTTCCTTGCAGGGGGGGGGCTCAGCACCCGTTGTGGCCTGAAAACCCCCTGAAATCAATAGATTTCGTTGGTCCAGGGGGGGGGAATTAGTCCCCATACCCCCCCCCCCTTGAATACGCCTCTGAATGTACTTAACTTGAAATCATGAAGAATATAAATCTTTGGTTTTGTAAGTACAAAGTTTCTTAAATTTATTTTTAAATTTTGTATTTCATATATTTTTTTTTTACAAATATGGTTTCTTTTTGAATTTTATATAAAGATATACGTACCTTTAGAAGTTATTATTAATTTGTGTGTGTGTGTGTGTGGGTGGATCCTCTTAAACACGCTTTTAGTTTTTTCAGCTATTCCTCTTTACTGGCACATATTCATTAAAATTATAAGATATAATAATCACAAGCTTTAAGACATGACTTTAGTATTACCATTATAAAAATCAGAATTAAGAAGTAGGACCCTAGAACAAGAAAGTATAAAATCAATTCTAATCTTAATTTTATATACTGACAACCATTAAATTTAATGAATTGTTTAAAATCAATGTTAATGTTATACTGACAACTATAACCTTTGATAAATTGTTTAAAGTCTATGTGATGTTAGTTTTAATTCTGATTCTAATATTATATCATAGCTTGATATACTGACAACCATAAACGTTAATGAATTGTTTAAAGTCAATGTTAATGTTAACAATATATACTGATAACCTAAGAATTTAAGGAATTGTTTACAGTCAATGTTAATGTTAATGTTAATGTTTATGTTTATGTTTATGTTTATGTTTATGTTTATGTTTATGTTTATGTTTATGTTTATGTTTATGTTTATGTTTATGTTTATGTTTAATAATGTTAATGTTAATGTTAATGTTAATGTTAATGTTAATGTTAATGTTAATGTTAATGTTAATGTTAATGTTAATGTTAATGTTAATGTTAATGATCATGATCATGATAAATTATTCTTTTAGAATAAAAGGTAATCAAAAATATCTTAAAAGTCAAATTCATAAATACCCAAAATAAATAGTTTCCGACGTTAACCAGGTTCTCTTCCCATGCTGCAGGTTTATCTCATGCGGGTTCAGGATATGTCTAAATTATTTTGAGGAATAGGTTAGTTTCATCACTTTTTGTTGCAAGAAATATATCTACAATTTCAATCCCTGTTTTTTTAATTCACTGTCAAAAAACCAGTTATTAAAAAGTAATGTACGGACACAATTCTGTTATTTTAAGAAAAATGTCAAAATCTTAATTTAAAACATCAAAATTTAAAATTGCAAAAATGCTTTTTACAAAAATTTTACAGCTTTGAGTAGACCATTTCACCATTGATAAATTAATGAATATTTTATTTCTATATATATCTCAAAAACTTCTATTTCTCTCGTAAAATCAAATTAATTTCTAACTAAAAAATGATTAACTTTTTTACCCCTAAAATTGAAAATATATTTTCCACAAAAGCAATAATAAAACTACGTCTTTGGAACAACAATAGTTATTATTTTTTTTTGATTTCTGATCATTGTTTATGAATGAATATTTTTCTTTTCAGCCAAAGCAATAAGATATAAATTCTCGGAAATGTAAGAGAAGGGAGAAGAAGTTATTAATTTCATATATGATTCATTGCTATAATTTTATATTCAAGTTAAGCGTACTTCATGTTTTGTTAAAGGGACTGTTTGTGTAGTTTCATTTATATTATGGCATGTCTGTATCACAAGATACCCTTAAAATCAGAATAAGTCTGAATAATGAGATCCATGTTTTTGTTTCATTCTTAAAAACTATGTATTTTCATTTTCAGTTTAACCATAAAAGGGACTTTGCATTTCTAACTTCAGAAACAATGAAGAAATCATCAGAATAAAACTTATTTTACTAATGATTGTAATTATGCTTGCCCTTCTTTAGATTGAGTGTCACTCTAAATTACTCTACAGTCCCTTCAAGACCAATAATGTGTGTTAAGAATGTATAATTAGTGAGGAAGAGTTAGAACTTTAAATTATTTGAAGTTTGTGTTACCTGTTAAAAATAAAATAAATTGCACAATAGACTTGTAGACAAGCTTTAATAGTGTTGTTGTTTCCTTGGGAGTTGTGTGACAAAGACAACATTTTTTTCAGAGTACATTATGCCTGGATGCTTCTATAAACAACATTATGCCTGGATGCTTCCTTAAACAACATTATTCCCGGATGCTTCTATAAACAACATTATGCCTGGATCCTTCTATAAACAACATTATGCCTGGATGCTTCTTCAAACAACATTATTCCTGGATGCTTCTATAAACAACATTATGCCTGGATGCTTCTATAAACAACATTATGCCTGGATGCCTCTATAAACAACATTATGCCTGGATGCTTCTATTAACAACATTATGCCTGGATGCTTCTATAAACAACATTATGCCTTGATGCCTCTATAAACAACATTATGTCTGGATGTTTCTATAAACAACATTATGCCTGGATGCTTCTGTTGAGCTAAGATTGCTCATTGTCAAGCATTTTTTGTTAAGGACTATGGAACATTGTTGCGAGGAAACCATGCCACCACAGATGTTATCCTGCTATCATGTATTGTCCAATGTTTGTATGAGAATCATGTCTGAGATGTTTACCATTTCAGATATTATACAATGAGCTTGGACTGCATTGATAATATAAATTGCCAATAGAACCACCAGGAAAGCATCTTTATCAGTTTTATCATTTATTTATATTTTGTTCTTTGTTGATATTCAGATTGATCTGAAATAAGTATTCTATATTGACATTGATAGATGTTTGTACCAGATTTTCAATCTGTGCAAGACCTGCCTCAGCAGGAACAAGATCTTATGTTTTATCTGTTGCAGATAAAATACATGAGGTCTCAGATTAGAACCGGACGGTTTAAAGGTGTGGAGAATAGGGGCGTGGCCAATATGCCTCGATCAGGCGAATCCTAAGGTTCTTAGATTAACATTGAAAATCTGTTTCTTTGCCCCCCTCCCCCCCTCATTGGTATCTCCTGATAGAAGTAAAACCTTTTAGACTGCAATTCATAAGTGAAGAATAATTGCTTGCAGTCATTGCATGAATCATTCTTTACCTGAATTGTGAAGCTATGATTAAAATTCTTGAGAGTTAGTATTTATAAAAAGTATTAATAAAGGATAACACTGACCAAGGGGCCCTCCTTGGAGCTGTGTCAAAAACAGGGCACACCAGAAGGCATTTTAAAGACCTTCACGAAGAAAGGTATACCCCTGAACCCCCCCTTCATAGTACCAAAATTACTTCTGATAGGATTAGTATGAACTCTGCCACCTCTAAGCCCTCATATTTACCAGATGGTAAGGTAGTCACTGATCATCAAGGATCAAGTTTTACTCAGTTGGATCAGTATATTGAATCCCCTTTTATTAGCGCGGGTGGTGATCTTGCATCTGAAGAAGAATCTGAGTATAATCTTGAAGCAACTCTTGCAATGTTAAGAAAAGGTATCTTTGACTTTGAGACAAAGTTTGATGAAAAGGAGAACTGACCAGGTAAAGTGTGGACGACTGAGCTTGATTTGCAGACTCAACTAAATGAAGTTAAGGATGTGGCTATGAAGTCTGGAAAGGGAGAACTATTAAGTATTTGTGAGGAATTGCAGAACAAATTAAAATATTCAGTTTTGGGCTGGAATAAAAAGATGGAGCAATCTTACCAACCAGACCCAAGATATCTTGCAGCAGCCCAAGGTAGTGCC